TTTGTAAAAACTGTACGTGTTTCAGAATGACAAGCAAATTATTATCCATTAATACATATTTATATGGATTATTTATAATTTTTCGTGCAAAAAAAATGGTGAAAAAACGGAAAATTTAACGTTATTACATGTACGCTACATAGTAATGAATTTAGTTTCAATGTTTCTATTCGCTTTATTTTATTGGTGTAATTTGGTTGACATAGCTCCGCCTCTTTGAATTATGAGTTGTCTCACAAAAGCAATTGTTGTTCACAGTTGCTCTAAAACAGTCTGGTCCATTCGAAGTACGATACAACACAATTCAACAATTTTTCACATGCGATGACACATACACATCGAACATATAGTCATTTCACTCTAGCCCATAACATTAAAGGAAGAAGATTTATTTTTTATGCACCCTGGTGAAAAGAAGTTGCTGATTTTTTACATTGAAAAATGTTCAGTGAAATTTGGTGTTTCACATGGGAAATCCGAACATGGAATCGTTAATAAATTTCATTTGTAAAAATATTTTTTTGTTGTGTTAAATGGAAATTTTTAAAAATGACAATCCTAACCCTGAATGTAACAAATAATAAAAATTTTTGAACTATTATAATGTGTATGCGTATCAGAAAAATATCAAAACTTCTTCAGATTCGACACAACAGCAAAATATTCGATTGAAAATAACCCAATAAATTGATAATACTCCTTTACTCCAATCTATCAGAAAAAAATATTTTGAAAACACACTGAAACGTAGTCACATTTTAGACAAACACAAATCGTGCATTTGTCATGAGGGATAAAAGACCAAAACGAAACACTGCGCAAAGAGTCACAAGAGGTGTTGTCTACACATGAACGGGACAAAAATATACAACGACAACACGAACATTGAGAAAAAGGCGAAAGAAAAAGAGTGAAGCAATAGAAAATCGTGTTTAGTTGCTCAAAAAAAGTCGGAATAAGCTGAAGCGGTCAAATCACGACACCAACAATCACAGTGTTATTGAGTGCTGGAGAACGGGCGCACGTTTCGACACATTTAGAAACATTGGATGTTTACGAATAAAAATTCTAGTTCGATGTGTTGAAACCAAAAGTGTATATTTTACGAATTTCAACCAACAAATTTGAATTTCATGCTTAGTGAAATAATTGAAACAGTGGAACTTGTGACATTTCTTTGCGGCGATTTTTATTTTATTATTTCCAACCAAAAGTGAATCAAACCGAAAAAAAGTGAAGTGAAGTTGAAAAAAAAAACGCGAAAGAAAATATGATGGACATTGGAATGTACGGTGAACATTATCAAGTTGGTGAAATGTCAACGACAAGCTCTGCATATAATTACTATCCGAATTATCATCACAATCATTTGCATCATCATCACCACATGCACCACAACCCGACGGCCGAAATTCTTTCCGGATTCACAGCTCAAAATCATGCATCAAATCAAGCACCGGCCGCAATAAATACATCGTCAAATCATTCGTTGAGCAGCATGTACCACGAGTATGGCATAACAATGTCGAATAATGAGCATAATTTCTATGATACCGACAGCAATATGGTGCAATCATACTATACAAATCAATCGAATGCAAGTGAACATCATGGATTATCAACGGCATCACATCAAACGACACCCACTTCGGTGTCTTCATCCAGCAACGATGTTCTCTCCGAAACGGCTGCATCTCATATAATTAGTTCGGATAATGGTTTAAGTTATACAAATTTAGATTATATGTACAGTTCGGGACATTCAAACCAACTCTACTTACATCAACCAGATGATAAATCAATAATTGCCCATCCATATAATCATACACCGCCAGCCGCCAATCTCGATAGTAATTTACATTCGCAACAACATTCGACTGTTTGGCAATCACAACAAACAACGCCAAATCATCCGCATCATGGAACTGGATACTTGGATAACCCTGTAAATGCTCATCAGATTGGAGTTGGTCATGTTCCATGTCTGCAAAATCAATCACCATTGGGCACCAGTCCAAATGGAATTCATCCACGATCATTGAACAATCGCAATGAACAACCGCAATCGCAGCAAAACACACAAAATCAAACACAGCACGGACAAACAGTTCAAACTTACAAATGGATGCAAGTCAAACGAAATGTACCCAAACCACCAGGTATTTAAATAAATTTCAATATTTTATTATTTCGTACAGTTGAAAACCGAAAATATCATTAACACTCTATAAAATATTATAATCGTCATTATACCATTAAATCATTCGGAAATCTAGTCACAATAATAGATATATGTTTCATATATTTTTTCACTAAAAAAAATCATCGTCTGGGCTAATTATTTAAACGTCAACATTTCGCGTACCAGCGTTGACCAGCAGCACGTCGATTTCACGTATTGCGTGCACGTCATGATTTGTCGATGTCACCCTCATTCTCAGCACAAAATCCGATTTCTATTATGCTTAACGTACGACATTTAACCGACATAGAAAAAAAAACTATATGAAAATAATTAGCAATAGAGGAATGAAAATGTGCATGTAATGCTTGACAATTTACGTTTTCTCAACTTCATCAGCATAAAATAATTATGGCTCATTGATTTCTTGACCGCTCAAATAAAAATCAATATATGAAAATTTGCGTTTTTTCCCTACTTTGTTGCACTGGTTTTTTCCGTGTTCGTGATGATTTCTTTGAAAACATTTGGAGAAATTACATGACCATTTTGTTGTTGCGTGTTAAAATTATTTATGGATGCAGAGTACATCAAACCAATGAAAAATCACTGATTCATGAGCAATTTCATAATTTAGAAAATGTGTTTGTCGTCAGTTGCCCACCAAAAATCGTTCATTATTTTACATTGCTCTTTTTCCTCAAGTAATTGTGTTAAAGATAAGAGAAATATTAGAAAAGTTTGAAATAACGTGTCACCAAATTGAGTTTGAGCCAAAGAATTCGCTGTTATCACAATGTTTTCAATTTAAAGTTTGAAATTGATATTAAAAAAAACACCTTTATAATAATTTCATTAACATTCATTTCATACAATTCCTCGACTAGGTCATAAACGGCCGTTTGACTCAACGATATTCCTACTC